ATGCCTCATTTCCTGGCATATATGCCAAAACCTTTACGTCTCTGTTTTACGTGTTACCCAGTGTGTTATGTTTTCTCTCACCAGATGTAGCAAGTCTCCTTCGATCCAGTGTTTCCAGCCACGATTTTCCTTCTCCCCTCTCTGAACACATATCAGCTTATCCCCATCCCAGGTAACCAGTGTCTGTTATTTCACCACATGCAAACAGTGTGCAGTACATATATGCTTGATTTTAGTCACTATTGTTATATCATTAAGAGTGCTGTCCTCATTTTATTCAGTGAAAAATATAAAAGAATTCAGAAAACAGTCCCACCTGGACCTTTCTGCTGTCCAGGCCTTTTGTGTACTCTTCAAACTCCTCCCCCACAGTGAAGTTGACCTCATAGTTTCTGAAGGTGCTCAGCGTCTTTGTTTCAAATTTGTCTCCATTCTGGACGATCACCTTTGTCTGATGCAGGTGGGAAGCTATCTTTCTGGTGGCAAAGTCGATGTCTGCAAGCATGTAAAGAACAAATAATGTGGTTTAATGCTTTCAATAGTAAACCAGTCAGTTTGGTTGATGTTTTATGGAATTGGAAAGAATTTTCTCATCCTGGTTTGGCGTGTAGTTTTTTTTTTGTTTGTTTTTTTAGAAGGCACACATCTGCAATCACACCTGACACCACAGGAAAAGAGCCTCCTGCTGCTGGTCCTCTTGACAGTTTCATTTACCCTTTAAAAATGACCTTCCTCCATGTTAGAATAGGCCTAAATGAGTTCCCCCCGCCCCATTCAATGGTTGGTCCTGCCAAAGAGAACCACCCATCTTGACAGTTGAGATATTCATATCCAATTTATCCTAAAGTGAAAATTGAATTTCTTCCCATCACTCTTATAGATGAGGCCTCTATACTTACCCATCTAAATGATATTTTTGACCCATTTCCATGAGATTGTCATTTTCCTAATCACTCAGTGGAAATGAGGTAAAGGCATTCAGGATTTCCCGGATTTTGCGTGAGCTGACTGTAACTGGGTTGTTTTATGAATTGCAAATAGAGCTGTGAATAATGAAAGTGTTTCTGAGCCTGATCAATGATGCGTCAAAGGAGAGCTGAACCAAGTGCTGGGCTGTCGCTTTTTTTATTTCTAAGTGATGAGCTGGTCTGCTGCCTGATCCAGGGTTGGAATCTGTCTTCCTTTTCAGTGGATCGGGAGGATGAAAATGCAGAAAGGAGTGAATCAATATTTATTTGGCACTGTAACAGATGGCAACCGTTCATAGAGTGGAGGTTAACTTGGCCTGACAGAAGCTCAATGAGGAAATGAAGCAGTGCCACAGAATTCCTCTTTTTCTTTTCTCTCTCCCTCACTCACACATCGGCTCTCTCACTTTGTCACACTCACTGTCAGGCCCCTTCCTTTTTGGTTGCATCTCCCTGTTTTGAATAAGGATTACAAGTCACATCCTCGCCCAATGCCATTATGCATTAAACTGGCAGTATAAATGCAACTTACCAAGGGCCTTCATGAGTTCCTCAAAGTTGTCATTTTTCACCATCTCCCAGCGTCCATTGTAGTCTGCAGGCATTTTTGACTGGTGTATGAGTGGAGCTAGGAGTTTGCCTTTATGTTTGTTTTTCACACCACAGAGAGACAGTTCAAGGGCCCAGCCCTTTATATACACCGCATTTATGGGTGTGTAGGTGTGTGTGCCTGTGTGTGTGTGTGTTTGTGTGACAATCAAAGGACAGGGTTCGCCTGATAAATCCCTCAGGGAAGTGTATATGTGATATAAAGTTCAGACTTACATGGTGCAATGTAAATACACTCCTTCACTACTGTGAGTATGTTTCATTAAAAACAATGTCATATTGCCTGCAGTCAGGTGTAGTTTCTGTTCATTAAATGTGTCGACAGTTATGCTAGGACTGACTTTATCAGCAAGAGCATGTGTGCATGTATAGCAATGCTTCCAAGTGAGTGAATGCTCAGTGTTTATTCAAAGTTCCTGCTTGGTTTGTATCAAGGTGATAGCTTTACCACGAGACCACAGTTCATCATCGATGTCAAATGTAAACTTGATCTTAAACTGCCACCTCATACATACTTCTTCCTGTTGTTTTTATCCAAAATCAACAGAGACTGACTCACAGTAGAGGCCATAATCAATACTTTTTGCTCTCTGGATCATTTTTAGAAGACCTGAAGTGCTTTCAAACAGCATATAGCAATAAAAAAAAAAAAGTAGCTGTGGTCATGACATGGTTTCACAGCTGCAGCAGCACTACAGTACCCTGTCTACACTGTGATATTAATTTGATCTCACGATGATGTGGTTGTATGTGGAGGGTCAAAGATGAGGCTGGCAGTGTGTGTCATGGTTTATCAGAGCTGATAAAGTCGGGTCTAAGGAACATTTATCTTTCAGTTACAATGACCTGATTGTGATGTCCACGTGCACTCTTTAACCTCATGTTTACAAGGTAATAACAATGACCAACAATGGTTGCAAAATGTTCATACATACAAATAGTGTGCATATATTAAGTAACTCCTAGTTACAACAAGTATGGAATTGTAAAAAAAAAAAACAGAACAAAGCTAAGCCTGCACAAATAGATATTTTATATCAACAACAGAAAAAAAAAATCCTATGTGTAATGTGTCACTTGTGGTAATGAACCCAAAAATAATCACCAGACTAAAACTGAAAACGTGCTATATGTTCTTTGTAGGCGTGGACAGTGTTGTGTTTGGCTAACTTATACACACACAGGACTATGTGTGTCTTCACTCTGTAAAGATACTGAGTGTAATGCACAGTGTGGTGGTTTGCTCTCCAAAAGAGATGGCCGAAGAGATTAATTGTAATTAATTGTATTTTCTATTGCAAAGAATCGACATTCAGCTGAATAAGATACTAAATTTTGTTTAATATTGAATGTCAGTGGGACAAATAACTCACTGTCCATCACCTGTGTTAGGTACTGATCCTACTACTGCTGCAAGTGCCTCTGTCAAATGGAGTCTTAGGTGTTTTATAGTACTTATAGTACTTTTTAAACTTTACAATTTGTGTACTTTATAGTTTATACTTTGTACTAGACACTTTAGATACTTTATGCCTTAATTGGTTTGTTGCATGCTATTAGAGTTCAGGGGGCTTTTGGTACCTTAATTAACTGTCCTTGCTCTTCTTTCTAATTTTAAGTGCCTTTGCATAATGTTTGATTTTTGCTTCTACTGTCTGTAATCCGCTGGATGCCTTGAATTTCCCTCAGGATCAATAAAGTATTTATCTATCTATCAAAGTAGTTGGTGTTTTCATATTGTAGAATAAGAGAGACAAACTTCAACATATTTTCTCAATCAGTTTGTTACCACAAGTAATGGGGTGAATGCACAATCTTCTGTCAAAGTTAGAACAGTTTTGATTACCTTTTCTTTTCAGGGCTTATCTCATGTGGAAGTATTCCACATGAGATACTTCATGTGTGCATACTTCCCTGAACCAGTCAGGTGTAGCAGTGTTTGAACTGAAACGTAATGACAGTTGTGGTGTTGTTTGCTTATGTTGCCTGAGTTGTCATTCAGCCCTGATTAAACCACAATCACCTCATTCATATTATTAAAAAAACAAAAAACAAATAAACAGTCATTCATCATCAAATCACTGTTAGTGTAGAGAAAACTCAAATGATGATATCCTGATTTATTTTTCAAGCTTCAGCTTCAGCTCAACTTCAGGTTTGCATGAACCATTTTTTTAAATTTCACCACACAGGGGCAGTGTTGCTACATATAAGTCAAAACTCCTTATGAACAGAGCGAGTCATATCCTGTTCTCTGTGCAAAACACTGCCATGATTTATTGTGATCAAAGTTACAATGACACAGAGCCATCTGCTAACTGAGAGCCTGACTTGGTAGGAATCTGTTGCTGTGTTGCTTTCGTCAGGTGAATTGCAATTGATTGTAATTTGTCAGAACAGGTTAAAGAGTGGCAACAATTGGTTTGCAGTAGATGTCAAGATGAAGAAGATGGAGACTGAATTTTAAACTGTACTTAGTGATTTAGAGAAGTAATTATTTAACAAAGAGAGACTACATCCAGTTGCGCATGCACATGTCCTTGCATTCATATACACAGCATCTCACAAAATTAAGCAAATGTAATTAGGGTAGTTTTAATAATACAGGAGAGTGTATTAATTTTAAATTGTAGAATAAGAGAGACAGAAACTTTAACATATTTTCATTTCTCAGCTGAATGCCCAACTAGAGCATGGATCAGGCCACATACTGTATTTCTGTCCAAACCCAACCCCTGTCTGAAAGTGTGGCATCTGAATCCCAACAAGCTTATAGTATTTAATGTCTAAACCCAACCTGAGCCTGACAGTTTAGTTTGTAAGGTGTTTTCCCCCTTATTCTTAAATGAAACAGACATTTGAGTGTTCCTGCTGTCTAACCTAAAGTTGGACCTACGTGTCCTAACCTGACGCAGATCTTCGGCTACCAACGGTTCCCATCAGGCTCTTTTTGGGTATCCACACTCTAACCTCAACCCTTCCCCTGACCCTAAACCTAATTCTACCTTAAACCAAATCTTAACCCTCAAACTGCTCGCTGAACTTGTGCGAAACAATGACTGACCAAAACGTCCTCACTCCCATGGTGTAAGACTGGCCCTCACAATGTACTACCAAAGAAATGCTCACACACACCAAGTTTCTGTCACTTCCAGAGACGCTACATTGACTTATTTTGTGGAGACTAAGTCTAGCTTTAACCTACACCTAACCATACCAGACCTTCAACTGACTTGCCACTCCAAAATGTAATAATTTACATTTCAGGAGCTTGATTTTTGTCCCCATAAGTATGTCAAGTCCCCACAGCGTGGCTGTTTAAACAGATTTATGTCCCCACAACATGAATAATACCAGCCTGCCCTGCACTGACATTTTGTCTGTAAATGAAATGTGTTTCAACATATTCTCACAACTTGGCTACATTTCACATTCTCTAGCATATGTTCTCTATCAACAACAGCAGGTGTGTGTACTGTATGCTCATACACACGGCATCTCATTTTAAACACACGTCATATACTGTTGTTGACAGGCTGCAAAGTAATCCTGCATTTCTGTTTCCTGTGACTCTTCATTTCACAAATCTCCCTTCAGAGTTGTGTTCCTTATCCTGTATCTCAGTCTAATCTTTTATCAGTAGCATATTGTGCCTTGCTTGCTGTGTAACTCTCCACAATACCGTTTCAATATTCAGTGATTCAGTTTAATTTACTTCATTAGCGTAGCATTCAAAGCAGTGCATGTCATTACATTCCCATGCATCTCCCCCATCTGGCCCCTCATCTATCCCATCTCCTCCCGCTCACTGTTGTTTCACAACATCAAAGGTTAGATTAATCACAATCCTCAGTGGAGACAAATGACTGAGAGTCGGCTCTTTGATATGAAACTATAGTCATGGATTTCAGCAGTGAGTAGATTTATATTTGTAATATATTTTCATGCCACCCATGGACTCTAAAAGTGCACCATCTTGCTGTGTGCTTTGATGTCCCTGTGAGAATTGAAAGGGCCTCAGTGTTTCCACACAATAGAATAATTTTTTGCTTTTATCTGCCTTATGAAAGCCTTTCTGAAAAAATAAATAAATAAAGCTCAACAATGGTGTTATACTCTATGCGTCAGTACAAAATGTAGCCATGTTAGAAAAGATTTCACATACAGAAAGAATTCATGCCTGCACACACATATATGCAGAAAATTACTATGTCGAACTCAAACTCCTTTGCAGTTTCATACAGTGGAGGAGAGAGCCAGTTTATTTTTATAGCTTCTACACACACAAACAGTGTGGAGGCCTCCTGTGGAGGCCCATTCAGATGCCACAGACACATTCTCAAAGCAAGATACCTGTGGAGGCATATGTTATGTCAAGGTCACCCTCTATGTAGCTTTGTGCTGCTTCAATCAAATCCCTCCATGTCCTCTGCATTTGTATTCTATTATGAATGTGCGCATGTACTGAACATGCTTTGCCTGTGGTTGTTTGTCCATTGCTAAATGCTTAGTCTGTCTGACCATCACCATTCCCCTGCTTTGATCCAATCCTATGCCAGTCTGCTCCCAGGGCTCATTCTTCTCACCATTTTTAAGAAGCATAAATCAAACCTCATTTTCCAGTTCTGTGTGTTGGGGGGGTGTTCTGAGTGTTCTCCCGTTGGGGGAACTCTTGTGATCCTGACCTCCACCTGTTCATGTGGCATTTCCGCATCCACACTGAGAAAGAAGCATCCAGAAAATAATAGAAAGAAAACAAACTGTAAGCTGTCTGTCGTCCTTTTTCTTTCTTTTTTTGACTTTTTCCCTCAGGAAGTTTGAGCTGGAAAGTAGAGAGGGGAAGAAGGGGATGACAGTGCTAAATATTTCATGTTTTCCTCTTGGTAATTCTGTACGGTTAGAATGAAACCGCATTTTCCACAGAAACATGAGCAACTGTGGGACTGATTGCGGGCGCCTCGGACGTTCTGTATTTCTCTCTATTTTTTGCTTCTCTGCTCCAAAATAAGCCTGGATGGTGATGCATTATGCATGGCACTTCCTAGCTGGAAAGGGCTGTGGGTCCTAAGGGATCAGCCAGGGAAAGGGTGTCCTGATTCACATTCTACAGTGTAGATCTGGGCAAGTCAAAGAAAGGAGGTGGAAGAAAAAGATTAGTTTTCCCACTACTCACTCCTCCGTTTTTTGTTAGTGGTCCAGATTACTGTAATACTCCTGCAAGCTGTTGTTTTTTCTGGGTTTCCTATGAATCACACAGGCCAAATGTGCATGCACAATTTTATTTTTATCTAATTTAGTATTAACTGAATTTATCTTGTCTTCCAATATCTACATTTTTATGTGAGCATATCTACATATAACTGTATAATTACAGTCTAAATTATATGGTATTTATATGGCATTTTCTGCCTTTTTTTTTGCCTTTTTCGTCTCATTTTATGAGTTGCCACCTACCCGTGTGCCATAATCTAGAAGCCTCTAACTTGAAGAGAAAGACCAGGTGGTTCCTCGAGGAGTCATAATCCAGGTTCCCATCCAAATGTAGCACAACTTTTAAAAGGAAAGGCAAATTAATGTGCATTTCTATCCACCACTGTTTTGTACATATTAGGACTTGCCTCACTGAAATAAACTGCTGCTGGTGGTACTTTCAGTTGGGTACCATTAAACTGCTGCAGAAGAAGAGGGCAGTATGAGACGGCATAATTAAAAAAGCCCCAGTCATATCTGGAAACATAATTATAAAACTATGTTGGAAAACATTATGGAAATATGGTATTTCTGTTTGCTTCTTTTACCAATATGAGGAACATTATAATATCTTCACTACTGTAATGATGTTTTCTTCTGCCACTATGTTTTGTTTTTTTTTTCTCTGTGTGTATGGTATGATTTCTAATGCACTTTGTCATATTTAAGTTTTTAAACATTTCATTTTTTTCTACCTCAACCAGTATTTTTTTTTTTTTCAAAATAAATTTATAGCATTTCCACTATGTTTTTTTAATGCACAACCTGAAAATGCACTTGAAAACTTTTAGATTTTTTCATAGAGTTCAAGGTCAGTGATAATACATCGGAGCATTAAAGAAATTTTGGTGTAGTTTCTGTTTACTGTAAATCATGTTTTCAGTAGTAATCACAGTTTTCAATAACTAATACATTTCTTTATTTAAAGCCAAATAAGCAACAAAATAAATAAGAAAAAAGAATCAGGCAAGCTGCTTTGTGCGACAGTATGGTGCAGAGAGAGAGAGAGAGTGGGAATGGCA